ACAAAGAGAAGAGCCTCCCCCAGGTAACTGCTCTCCCTTTGCCTGACACCTGGAACGAGTACATGTGGAGTTACCTGAGCTCAGCCCTTGGCAAGAAGCAAAGTCTCATACTGAAGCAGAGCCTCCCAGGAGAGCCCAGCCTAGATCAATCAACCTAGCCTCTGGACATCTAAGAATAAACGATTGTAGGCTTAAGCTATTGAATTTTGAGATAGTCTGTTGTGAATGGTTAACATAGAAGAACTGATTAAAATCATCCAAAATCTCTAGAATTTGCTCTTGGATTTGCAGAACTAAATTCCACTGATGTTTTCTTTCTTTTTTCTTTCTTTCTTTTTTTTTTTTTCTTGAGATGGAGTCTTGATCTGTCACCCAGGCTAAAGTCCAGTGGTATGATCTCGGCTCACTGCAACCTCCACCTCCTGGATTCAAGCAATTCTCCTGCCTCAGCCTCCTGAGTAGCTGGGATTATAGGCATGCACCACTACACCTGGCTAATTTTTCTGGTATTTTTAGTAGAGACAGGGTTTCACCATGTTGGCCAGGCTAGTTTCAAACTCCTGACCTCAAGTAATCTGCCCACCCTGGCCTCCCAAAGTGCTAGTATTACAGGCATGAGCCACTGCACCCAGCCTCCAGTGAAGTTTTTGATGCTTGGGATTGCATTTTAACCTGACATTTCTTAATAATTCAGTTTTTAAGTGAAGCAAATTTCCATTTTTGTAAGTTGTGTTTTTCCTAATTTTTTAAGCTGCACTCGTTTCAAGTATGTCTGTTTTAAGTGTCTTGGACTGAAATATAAACTCTTTGAAGTTTTTATTTTCTAAAAATAGGATCATTAAGAGTTAGCGTCTCAAGTTAATTTGCCATCTGGTATAACTTTATACATGTATTTACGTGAAGATACACTATCATGCATGAGATGCTTTGATAAAGATATATAAGGACATATATAAAGTTATAGCGACCCCTTACTTCCCACTAACCTAGTATACTTTTAAACTTTTGTTTCACTTAGCATACACATACAATCAGGACAAGTTATCTTTTTCTGTTTTTAAATTGTAGAAGTAAATAATTTTATTTGACTTTAATGGAGACCAAAGTAGCCAAGTGTACTTTACTATACAGTTGATTTTTTTTTTCTCACACACAGAAGTAGAATGCCTGGTATAGTGTTTTCTCTAATTTGCAATCTGGTCTAAGTATTGCAACTAATTCCATTTAATTCAACACTTGCTGAGTAGTTACTATTTGCAATGTTCTGTGTTGAGCCTTGTGGTGTCAGAAAGGTAAGTTTGTAGATCTTGACTTCTAGGTAGTACAATTTAGTAACTAAATAAAAAATCTTAATTCTTGAAGGGAATAGACCAAAGGGTGCAGAGAAACTTGACAAGAAAGCTATAACCTTATAAATTCAGAAATAACCAGATTTCCTGAATCAAAAAACCAGAATATGAACAAATAAGCAAACAAAAGCTCCTTTTGAAAATCCTCACCACCACTAAAAATGACCATATAAAGAAAGCTTAGAGATTTGAAAGCTTAGATATTTGAATATTAGTGCTTAAAAATTAATAAAGGAATATATACTTTATTATGTTGTATATTTAAAATAATTTACTTAGGAAGGTTGCACATCTCTGCGTTTCCGTAAAAGTGTATCTTAAATCATGTTTTAATAAAATACTAATGTTCAGTTTACTCACAGGTATGCCATAAAGTATGTAAAAGGATGATTAAATAAAAAACTATTCTATGATACAGCAATGGGAAATACTAAAACATCACTTCATTAGATAAAATAACTTCATTTGCTTTTGATGTTCTGGTTACCTTTTATTTCAGTTTTTATTTGGAAGAAACATTCACGGATATTTTGTTTAAAATATTTTATTGTACCACAGACTTTAAAAGTTTAAGTAACATCATTCCATTCTGGACATCTATTTACCAGAAGAAAAGCAATGGTTTCTGGGTTTATATTATTAAGGCACTGTGACAGTGGGTATAGCTATTACTCAAATAGCAGGTACATGAGCCTTTTAATTCACACAGGGGAAAAAAACTAGAAAAAATGTTTTAAAATTAAATGTAATAATTTATATCATCATAATGAATGATGGAAGTGGCACTGCACACTTATGTTTTCTCCTGTAGATCCACTTTTCACCCTTTTCTAACCTGCTCCTTTGCCTTCTGGCTTCTGGTTGGCTTTGGACAGTAGGAAACACAGTAAAGAGAAGAGAGGGAAGGAGAAAGGTGAAAGAGAGGTATTTATTGCCCTGACTCTCACCCTTAGGGAATGTAGGGGGATCTTGGTGGGCTCTTGTATCTCTCAACCAAGGGGCACAGCTTCTTTCAGGCAGCCTTCTTCATACAGCTCTGTTTCTGGGTCCATGTAACTGTACCTTCCCTTCATCTTTTCAGGGCCAGCAATGGCAATAGCATTTTCCCCTTACTAGCCTTTGAAGAGTTCTATTGTAGCTGTTTTCTCAATGCCAGAAGTGCTGGTAGGGGATGGTGCCATGGGATTGTGTTTTTTGATCCCGGTAGGAATAACGGAATCTAAAAGTGGCAGGAGTCAGTGCTTAACCGTTAGATATAAAGGTGGATTTAATTAGCACAATAGTCACTGGGCAGAGGATTAATCAGAGTGTTCTGACCTGCAGGAATCTGTGATAACTGATTGGTTGATCTTGAGATTCCAAAGATTAAATAGAGAGTAGCACATTAAGGTGATATTTGGTGTGCATATAGGAATATAGGAAGAAAACTAATAGAGGTCTTAGATGGCAGAAGTCTAACTCAAATTACCTAGGTAGAAATTCACTGCTTCTGACCTATTTTCTACATCCAAGCCAATTCACAGACCAAAAGCCTCACCACTGAGTGAAAGAGATCTGTGACCAATTATACTAAGGGAAGAAAAATAACCAGACCTTCCATATTATTAGATCCTAGCTCTAAACTGATGCTAATAATCCTCGAAGTCACCAATGCCAACACACCAGCCAGAGTAGGGGCTTATCAAGGGCAAGTGATGGATGAGTCTTCACTTAGTCTCACAGTGAGTCCAGTAGGGTCATGGGTACATGTTATGGTTATTTCTCCAGTTCCAGAATGTACAGTGGAAACAGATATATAAAATCTGGTTTGAGTATTTGCAATGTGGTCTGAGTATTGCAACTAATTCCATTTAATTCAACACTTGCCGAGTACTTAGTATTTACAATGTTCTGTGATGAGTCTTGTGGTGTCAGAAAGATAAGTTTGTAGATCTTACCCTCTAGGTATTCACAGTTTAGTAACTAAATAAAAAATCTTAATTCTTAAAGGGCACAGAGAGACTTGACAAGAAAGCTATTATGTCATAAATTCTGAAATACCTGCCTTCCT